TTGTCTTGTCACCTGTTGTCCCAGAGAAACGTTCTTCATCAGATTTGACTGTTTCTCCTCTCCTCAACCTGAAAAGCTTCTCAGGCAAAAACAAAAGTTATATAAAATGAAGGATAACATTGGTGTGAGAAGAATGAACATCATAATCAAGTCTGAAATGCACCGATTGAATTCAATTTATAACGAGAAGTTTATATCCTGTAAAAATGCCTCTAATATATTGAAACTTATCGAAGAAATTACTGGTGGTAAGCAGATGAATAGCATTCTTTATTCCTTTGATGTGTGTACACTAAACAAGTCCTTCATGCATTCTCCCACAAATGGGACAACTTCTAGTGTTACAAGTGCTGATGAAACGTGCTTCCCTGGTTTCAATACAGATTACGTTCTAAAATGTCTCCAGTCGCTGAACACCTCTTGTAGTTTAGGTGCAGATGGTTTGCCTAGTGCTATTCTTAAAAAGTGTGCAGATATCCTGTGTCTTTCTCTCATGGACATATTTAACGAATCTATTTCCAGATTTGTCGTGCCAGCCGTTTGGAAGGACATCAAAATTGTACCTATACACAAGTCTTCTACTGGAACATGTTTTAAATTTAGACCTATTGCTATTACCTCTCCTTTACTAAAATCTATGGAAAAGTTACTCGTACTCAATCTTTAACCTTCACTGAAAGCCTTTGACGATCACAAACAATTCGCCTATAAACACAGTAGAAGTAGTGTAGATGCAGCTGCAGTCTGGCATCATAACATTGTCTCCAGTTTAGACAAGCGGACTGAATTTGTTCACTCCACCTTCCCAGATTACACATCTGCTTTCCATTTAGTTAGTACCTAGGGACATTTTGTGACAGAAGCTTACTGAAACTCAAACTGACTGTTGGATTGTCAAATGGCTGCATTCTAATTTCTCGGGAAGGAAGCAGTACACTGGAAGTCAGAGAAAAGTCGTCAACGTCATTGACGACTGGTGTCCCTCAACGCGTTGTTTTTTCTCCTTTACTGTTTTCCTTCTCATTGCATGACTGGCATCACTCTGATGACGGAGTGAACTCTGTTAAGTATGCCGACGATCTTACTATTTCCATGTCTGTTAACTCCTGGCTAGACTGTACTAAGATGAACAGCTTCCTATGAGGAGTTAGCAAATGGTGTTCGTCTAACGGTCGGTCTTAAACTCAATCCTTCGAAATGTTAGACTGTTAATTTCAGTTTCCGATGTATAAGAAAGAAAAATGCTGTTAATTACCATGATCGTTGCGAAATTGATGATATTGATATAGAAATCAAGTCTGAATTAAAGTAACTTGGAGTAATAACTTCTTCTGATCAATCCTGGTCTTCCAGTGTCTCAGAGATTTCTAAAAGAATACTTCGTCTGACTTTTTACATTAAGAAGTTAAGGCACTCAGGAATAACCCAACCTCTCCTCTTACAGTTTGTCAACTCGTGCATCTTACCTATTCTTCTTTACTGCTCACTCTTATTCCTTACTGGATTGCTTAAACTAGACTATGTCATATTTCGTGGAACTCTGAAGACTGTCAGTAGGGCGAGTGGCATCTCATTGAGCCATATCGTTGACATTGTCACTGAAAGGCACTTGATTTCATGCGACAAATTTGCTAAAGGAATTTTGTCAGACTGTGAGCAGCTCCAACCTTGTGTCTCCTCAGGTAAAACAACAAGTATTTTCATAAGATTTTGTGCACGTACGTCTAAGTATAAATATTCCACTATTCCATATTTGACACTTACTTTATGTGATGAAATTGTGTTAGACATGAACTAACTAACCTTCTTTGGACTATTAAATAAACCATTTATTCCATCCTTACAACATCAACCTTTACTGTTATTGTTGTTCTTATATTTATAATCCTCTCAATTTTGTGTTTTTTATTTGTTTTTATTTTTTCATAAATGTGAACATCATTTAAGCTGTGTTATAACTGTTAATTTTGTATTTCCCCTCACCACACTGTATCAACAGAACATGACATTCAATACTCTATAACATGCGAAAATGTCCAAACTGAATCGACAATACTGTTTGAAACAAACTCACTGTTATTGTTATTATTATTACATTTATTATTCTCAATTCTTACTTCGAAAATTTTTACTTTATTTCGTAAAGATGGACAAAGTTCTATGCTTAATTTTGTTTTAGGTTTTAATTCTATTTGCATTTTGAGTAAATGAGATACAATATTGTGACAAATACTGAGAATTCCATACTGTATTGTAACTACCGTTTTTGGAATAAAGCAGATTATTATTATTATCATTATCCTGTGTTAGATACATACAAAGAATCACATGAAAAATCTGTACAAAATACACAATTCGATAATTGCGACAAAAGTCATTTCATGTGGAGTGGAATCAATTTGAGAGTAAGAATGGACTACGATCTCTCAATATGTGTAATTGTGTCGGTTATAATCAATGAAATCGAAATATTTATGTGAAAATACATGTGAATATTCTCAGAAGCAGTGAATCTCGAAACTAGTAGCTACAGTCAGTAAGTAGATTTCAGCTACATCTCACTTCTTAGTTGCTCACTTAAGGAGGAGTACTCATGTGATGATTTTCATTCTGACTTTGATCATATCCAGTGTACTTTTCTTTACTCGATAGACGCATATCAAAATGAATATTTTAGTTCATTAGTTAATGAAATTAGTTATTTTGAAAATTGCTCATTTGTGGTTTCACGTAGAGTCACACACAACTAAACATTTCGATGCGATAAAGTGCTGCTAATCATATTCCATAAAACAGTGTGGAGGTGGAGATTGAAACCTGACTGTTTATTCAACTAATCAACTGAGAGTTGGCTCAATACGATTGACTCGACACCTATCCAATATATCTGGAGAATTCTATTAACCAACCTTACAAGAAATCGGGTAGAAGACAGTGAGAATATACAAATCGAGTTTCGAAGTCATGTGGTCAAATGTGACATGTTTGAATCATCACTCAGTCGATGAAACTATTCCACTTTGTGATACATCCAATAATCAAACTAGGGTGAGATGACTAACTCGAATAACTAAAATACGCCAGTTGACAGGGAATGTTCTGAACAAGTTCACAAGCGGATTGCATGTTAGGGAGGAGGGGATCATTTCATATGATTTCATATGATACAAGCACATTCGAACATTTTAACTTGTCCGACTTAGTAGAAGTCTGATCCCACTGATATCATCCTTATATCTCTGCAATATCCTGTCTGCAGCAAAAAGAATTCACATAGACACATTGCGAACATCTTCATTGGCCTGAGTCATTCATTGTCAAACACAACATTTATCGTTCATGGTGTCGCACACACACACACACACGAGACTACTCATATCATTTGTAATACTTCATTGAGTTTGAAAGCCTACAAAATATCACTAATGAATTATTATTCGTATGCCCAACTGATTGGTGAAGCTTTCAAGCATATGCATTCAGGTGACACATTCGCGCTCCACTGAAACCTTCCACAACTATGTATCTCTCTTTCAAAATTGTATGAAAGTGTGAGTCTCTGAACAGACCAGATATCTCTGACAACTTAGATCGATTGAGGCACTCACTTATGCTTGTGGTATGCTAGGCTGAAAATTGGATGACCGCTCTCACATTCAATCTTAATCACTGACAAGATATTTGTCGTATTCAGAAAGGGTAAATCGTCTTTTGACCACTGTATTACTACACTTCTTCTTCTCCACATTCTCAGAAATGTTGAAGTGTACAGTCAGTTTGAAAACAGAGATATATATGTATAAATGTACTTTTGATGGTGTTGATGTTTACAGGTATATTTTGTCTGTTTTTCTTACTACAGAATATGAATATCAGTGTGAACGTCTGTGCAAGCAGTAACACACATCAAATGAGCAAAAGAAACAATGATTAACATATCGTCATGACGAGGAACAAGAAATCACAAAAATCAAAATTAAATTAAGATGCCTACAGAGTGACATTTCCCTATTCAACTGCCTGCTAATACAGATAAGCTGAAAGAAGTATTTTACAAATCAGACTGGTGATTTGTTTCATTGAAGAAATATGCTAAATTACTTTCGAGTACGACGAACAAGGTGATCGTACAAAGCCAGATGACGAACGCTGTGGTAAATTCTAGGGCATTGCAATCAATCCACCAAGTGATGTCTTCGTCAGTATTGACATAGGTGAACAATAACTACAAAGTAGAGAAAGAGAAAGATTATTGACAGAGATGAGTGAATACAGGCGATCATCTCAAATGTACAGCAATTCAAATTAATTATAATTATCTAGCCAATGTGATAGGACTGTTTTCATATGATGAAATATAGACACCTGAATCAATAAAGAATTCTCTACACATTCACTGTCGGCTTTCAGATCAAACATGAGCAAATGTTTGCTTGTTTTCAATATTGTAGTGAGAATTCAGTTCACACCTTAAAGAAGATTATGGATTCAGAATGATGGGTCAAGTGTGTCATTATTCATTTTATGATTTGTCAGTCTCACATGCACAGTGAAGTTGTTGGAAATCCCTAAATGTAAGTGCGTAAGGCTGGTGAGGGAATATGAAATCATTGACAAATATCATCCAATGTAATTAATACAAGCTGCTTAATAATCCAGCCATTTCCTAAGCACACACAACACGAATTCATATACGACAATCACAAGGAGCGAGTTATCGTATTACTAACGACTCGCATAAATTCGAATCGTGATTACTACACTCCAGTGATTTAGAAATCCGTCAAGTGCAACAGTGTACAAAATCATCTACTCTGGAAATACACTCTCAAATATCGTGGATAGGTTCACGTGCCTCGTGATGTAATATGAACACAAATCGACTAAGCGATACTGTGATTCACAGTGGAATTCTGCGACTATCAAATAACTGATGTGATTCGTGTAATTTACTCGTCAAAATAAACATGGTTGATACAACGATAAAATGACAAACTTACGAAGAGTATGAATAACGCACAGAAAAATACCACCAGAGCTAAAATTATCTGCGAGGAAAATACGAGGAGAAATGAATAAATCATGAGGGAAGAGGTACACTCACATGCTTTGTTAATCTATGCAAATTACAACATTGACATATCTACTGATCTGATATCTGTGGACATTGACTATTATCGAAACATGCTGACAGTTGAATCACACCTGTCAGTGACACTGCCTCTATGTAGTGTGGCTGAAATATGCGAATGTATATCATTCACTCAATATATATAACAACTGCATCCCTTCACATTTCTTATCTGACAACAGAAATGTCATTATTCACTGAGCCACTTCGACTACAGTCGCATCTCTGTTAGTCCAATATATATTCCGTGGAATGTGACAGTCACACCAGTGAATTGTTGCCAAACGAGCCAAATTCCATACATATACGTGACAAAGAAATTGACTATAGACGAAGTTAGCTGCTATTGTACCAAATTGCTCTTAGCTCTTCCAATCAAAATATAGAGTTCGAAGAGACAGCATGAACGACAAGTGTATCAGGATGAAATGATGCCATTCTTTATCATTTCACGCCTTACACTCAGCTGGCTGAAACCAGATCCATCCAAAAATATGGAGTACACGTAATATGCCATGTAGGTTTGAGGCGATGATAAGCAGTAGTGTTATTTTCTCAGAAGGATGTAAGCTGTCGAATATGCCCAACAGTCAAGAGTGTTGACTATTCATAGGATGACCAGTGGAATATTCTTGAAAAGAAACTCACTGTAAGCTGTTTCGAATGAAAACAATATTTGACATGCATGAAATTGAAGATGCAATCGGTTACCTAACTAGTGGGCAGGATAGTCGAAGGTCTACCACTGTCTCTTTCTGCTCACATAGTTTTGATTTGAATCGTTTAATGGAGACTGCCTGAGGAAATCGGAGCAATGCAGGTTTCCGCTGACAGGCTTCTCTTAATACTCTCTCAATATAAGTTTCATCATTCGAGAAATTCGTCACTGATACTCCCATCAATTGTTCCTTGTCACCGCACTAGGAGTATGTTGAAATCTTTCATGTGATTTATACTTTTCTACTGTTGAGGCTGTGGTCAACTGAGAGGAGACTGTTAAATGGTGACAGCAAAGTTAGTCTTAGTGTGAACAGTGTTCATATAATGCACAGATGTTTCAGTGGAAAGCATCGCATAATAGTTTCCACTTGTCCAGGATCTTTATATACAGTAATAAGTGACAGTAGATCGTGCGACACATATCTGTCTAACTTAAAGCGCAAACCAATTCCTTATCAAATCTCCTACTCGTTTCATTCACGAAATGACGTCATCTCATCATGCTAAATTTGCTGTCCCTGCTTCGCTCTTCCTCCTGGGAGGAATCAAATGAGATTCCAAAGTGTGGAATCAATACTGGGATTCGGATGCAGTGGGATATTTCTGAATGAAGCGGAGATTTCATAAGTTTTGACAAATAACTTAGGCAAATAATTCATGCAATAAAAGTAATAATTCACACATTTACATCTTGCTTGGAGAACACATAGAAAACGCTCAAGACGAGTACCACTATCGCTAACGTCAATGTAACCGTGTCAAACACTATCACCCCCAACGGATTCAATCGAGGCATGAGCATAGCCAACGCAACTATTGGAATTTCCACCACAAGTATACAGGCCAGAGATATGAGTCCAGCTTTCAGTCCAACAGGTGACAAAAAAGCAGCGAATCCAACAGACCACAGCACAATCTATGACAATGGAGAAAGCGAAATGAGAACATGTGATCACACTGGATAGATTCATAGACATATATAAACACATATATTTACAATGAATACTGAAAATACAGTGAATGCTCAATCCTGCATGAAGAAACAGATAAGCCACATTCTCTTCACTCACAATCAATCGCAAATAAACAATTCTCTCGAAGTCACTGTCATCCTGTGAACTGTTGATCATCCTATACATGTCGACAAGAGTTAACTCTGCAAACTGCAGTTAGCTGCACTGGCCGACTAATTACCGCCTGACAAATGGAATGACTATACCTACAACAGTTGAAAATAATTAGACCGCATTATCCATCGTTGAGGATGAATACGATGAATTCTAATGAAGTTCTTTCTTGTCAAATAGAATCAAAGTCTTGATTTCGCAGCTGCTATTCCCTGTCCCTCTCTTGGGTGGGACAGGTCAACTGGAGAGTCACCAGAGATGTCCAAAACATGTCCATCAACGTGTTAATATCACTTCAGTTCAGAAAACGCTTCATCTGATTTCTCACGAAGCTGTTTATTCATTAAACTGTTTGAATGAAGTAAACTGTCGATTGTCTTATCCCAGGTCATGTAGAATCAACTTTTCGAGAACTCCAGTTTATTCATATCTTCAAACTGTCTCTCAATAAACACTTCCTGCTGAAGCAACAGGTGGATTTACGTTTCCACATTTACGAGTTTCTAAGATACAACTTGTCTCAGCTTTCAGGTCCTCTCTCATGCGCAAGTAGTGAAACCACGCAGTCATTGTCACATCGCCAATAAGTGAAATAATGAAAGTGGTGTGTAATGTGAATCACAGGGATGATCACTTTGACGAGGTATTCGTGGGTGAAGACACTTTCAAATTGCACCACAAACGACATTCCTTAAGTTAAAAACAAGTTAGTCTAAATCCCCACAATTTTTTGCAGGGTTACAAAAATGACACTTACTACAATTGAAAACACGACATAGACACCAATTGGTCGTGATCGAATTCTCGACACGAATACGAAGAGAAGTAACACAAGGAGACCGACTCCTCTGAAATGAATTCACAAACATCAACAATTCGTCACAGATATTACATAGTTAATCGGAATTGTGCGTTATTTTGGTTAGTGCATCACAGGTCATAATAATCGAATATTCATGAGTTGCATTTTCAATAGAAATGATTTTAAGTTTGATGATCTCGGTATATCGATGCCATTCTTCGGTTGTGACGTCAAGTTTCCATTTGTCACAGGCTTCATTCGCCCGGTGCTTCATGAAATCACTCGTTCATTTTCACTGTCGGCGGAAATCTCTGATTTGATGATATAGTAAATCTCACCGCTTTCTGAGCAACGGAAAACATAAATGCTACGGTACTTGGCTCAATCTCTTTCCTGAGTCGACAAATGAGTGAAAACAACTCGTCGCATGTGGTTCACAAATGACATGGGAAAATGAAAGCAAGTCAGAGGAGACTGCTGTATTTGAAACTTTCCCTTTCTCATGAGCCCTTGATATGAGGATAATTTAACTGAAGATTAGACAAAGTGACTTTAGGTGGGGATGTTGTAGAATCGAAAATATTTTATGATCAGTAGAAGGGAAGTTGTTCTTATGAGGAAGCAGTAACACAAATGGCAAAATTGCAACTGAATTGTTTAGTATTCTATACAAACTATGATGAATATTTGACTGGATATTAGTCGCCTAACACAAAGCAGAACTCAGATAAATTATTTCAACCTCATCAGGAAGAGAAAATATTCACCGAAAACCGTAGCACTCAACTCTGCGAAATAGACGACAAGACAGAGTAAAGGGCCAGTTTGCATACATTAAAAGCTGAAACAAGCTAAATATTCCAGTTCATAAACGAGGAAATCGAAATGTCACTGCAGAGATAACCTGCACCAAAATGTTTCCATCAGTGTAGATTTTATGAATTTGAAAATATTTACAAACCAGATGTTCTATAACGTCTATCTGTATAACCTACTAACTCTCTAACACACAACTTCTCAACATACACTCCTTGAATACCGAATGTATATGAAATGCAAGCCGTATATTGAGTACAGAATATGTATGAATCTGACAGCAGAACTGCATCAATTTTTGTTGAATGAGATGAAATATTTCCAAGTCTTCGCCATTCACCATTTTCAGACAGTGGACTATGCAGTCGATGTCTTTCAGGCACAGGAGAAATTATGAATTCACTAGAAGCGTGTTCAGATCAAACAGTGTTCAAATATAGAGGAGATATCCACACGTGAAACAGATAGTATTGTTATGGAACAAACAGTATTGCCATCACTGACCAATCTGTGCATCCACTCATTCAAAACAGCTGCAATTGTGAGATGCTCTGATCGTCCGAGATACGTAGATAACACCTTTGGAAATCATTAAATGTAGAGTCCTAGATGAAAATCTTCGCCTGATGAACAACATACCCAATAGTGTTGAGCTCTGCAAATATGTTGAACACTATTCGCATAATTTGATGTTTTTTAACTGGTTTGTCGGACGACAACCAGATGATAGACGAAAACTTAATATCCTCAGAAAGCTTCGCATTTGGACAGATGGCCTTATTATCATTGTCATTATTATTCGGCGAATCTCTTTATCACCAAAGTGACTGAAGTTAAGACCCGAATTAACTTGGCTGAACATCTATTACCTGGAGTCGAAGTAAGCCACAGAAGGTTGAAATTGGTTGTAAACTGACTTAGGTTGATCCACTGTCCAGTCCTAAGTAGTCCGACGAATGCGGAAAGTGTAAACTAACAACTCAGGACTCCTCCATGGTTGTTTATATATAAACTTGGTCCTGTGTGGCTAGTTCTACTGACCGTCAAATAAAATACAAAACTTCCCAGTGCATGTCTGAACATAATCAGACGTGGTTATCAAGATGAGACAACGATTCACTAAGATCAAAGCAAATGATCAAATATATAGACACTGAGAAGACATTTATTGAGTACACTATATCTGGAAACCGTTTCACAGAATATTAGTAACACAGATGTCTTCAGTAGTCATGGACATCACAATAATCAATATCATGTGTCAAGAATCCAACTAAATTTTCGCCATGAATATTATTCACATGGTGACATGATGCAAACCATTTGTCAAGATTTTATTCGATAATTTCGCTAAAACTTCTGATCAGCTGATATCTCAAAGTAAGAGGAAGTCATTTTTGTGGAAATAATAATTGACAAATAATTCCCACACCTCACTCGACAGATTGGAAATAGTGGAAGATACAACATCTAAACTATAAATAAAAGGGTGCATCTGGACCCTAATATCGCTGACAAAATCAGTACAAGCAGTTCCATGAAGGGTCTCTATTCGAAGAAATTCACTTTCTTAAGCTGCACAATAGAATTCAGCAAGGTTCTGAACAGTGACAAAGGGAAGAATCACAACACACATCCACAGTTGCCATTAGTATTCAATGGAAATGAGAAGTTGAATATAGTAGATAGAATTATACAATAATAACAAGTCTATATTTCAGACAATATGCGAAAACAGAGTGCAGAAATTTTCGGCCTTCCGAAATATTTTATCTTCCTACAGGATTTCCATGTTAAGTGATAATCTGAAGTATGTCGTGTGATATAGCGTTGTTCCATAGAAAGAGAACACCAACTGTGTACATTTTTGTTCATTCATTTCCTCAGTGAAATGAGCAACCTTCCGTTGAAAACTAACTCACTATGTGGGCGAGTACACGTAGTGATCATCTGATACAATTGCATGATCATAGCAATCAGAAATGCTGTAGCAATTTGGCATTTCAGTGGATGGAAACTCTGGTAGACCATCGATTTCAGCAGGTCACCTTTATGAAAAGGTGGGATATATAATTTAACAGGTTATTTTATTCAGGATGCATATAGAAAAACAAAGAGAATTTCATTTTATCTAGGAGTTCTGGAGGAGAAGTGAGTCAGAAACGGTCAAGTGAATGAAGTAATCAAACATATTTAAATGAAAACAATAGGATTCGCGTTGAACGATGCATATATTTGGCTCCACAAGAACAGGTGAACTGAAGTATGCAAGTAGAAGTGGTCAGATGTGAGATCTTGTCCATAAGGCTCCTCCACACCAGTAGCTAACTGACGAACACCACTCTTAGCGTTTCTGTGAAAAAAGTTCTCCTTGCTGAAACCGAAATTCCTCTCTTAAGAACTTCACCAATTAGGCTACCGTCAAAGTCAAAGTTCATCTAAAACGTTCATTTCTTGCACGGATTACTTGTTAGGCTTTTGAATTTTTGGCTTGACATTCTCGACAATAAGACTCGATGTATGTCCATTTTGAAAGATTTCTTTCTGAAAAGTCTAATTCATCTTGCAGAGCATTTGAGCTACAGATGAGTGTGACGCGAGTGGGTAGAGAAATACTTTGCCTCAATTCACGTTCATTTGGTATTCAGCTGTAGAAACTTATCAGTTGGCCGCTCAATGTGGTTCTCTTATTGATCTATCTTCCTCAAGACCCGTAGGCTCTTCGTGTAAATTCAACCTCATGAAAAGGCAGTGAAGATTCATCTACTGAAACAGTGAGCCCTGTCGGTGGATTACAGCTGTTGAACATGTGTAACACTAGTAATTGTGATCATGACTATCATCAGGGATAATAAAAATGTCATCCACATATCTAGGACACAATGGAAACCTATCAATATTTAACTTACGTGGACCATTCCTGTGACTTGTCATGAAACAGGCTGCTAGCAACGAACTTAAGTGAGATCTCATTGAAATCCAATAATTTTGTCTGTAGAAGATGTCGTTGTTCGTGAATGGAACATAGTACTTCCTTTGTTTCCATGTGCATGCATATCAAAATTTACATAGTAACTTTTCTCATCCCAATATGTATTTCTGTCGACCTTATTCAACTTCTTATATGCACTCATTAATATTACCAACCATCTTGTGACGATTCTTCCATTTGTTAACGTTCAGTTTAGTCGTTCCCTGTGGGTAACCTACTGATGGATCTTTCTTAATGCGACTGTTCAAGCAAAGAAAAGGAATTCATTGAAAAGAGACTCTTCACTGAATTGCTTGTGTTGATTTTGTCAACGATATTAGGGCCCAAATGCACCCTATGATTTATACCTGAGACGATTTACCTTCCATCATTTCCAATCTGTCGAGCGAGAGGTTTGAATTGTGTATCAATAATTATTTTTACAAATATGACTTTAACTTACGTTGAAATATGAGCTGATCAGAAGTTTTAGCGAAATTATCGAATAAAATCTTGACAAATGGTTTGCATCATGTCACCATATGAATAATTTTCATGCCGAAATTTTAGTGTGATTCTTATTGTACGACATTAATTATTCTGATGTCCACTATTGCTGGAGATATCCGTGTTGCAGATTTTCTGTGATCGTGATTCTACAAATACTCTACTCTGGAAAATTCATTCCAGTGATTATTTTATGAACCAACTGTTTTGATATCCTTGGAGCAAAATGTGAAATCAATAATATGAATAGAGATGAACAACAGACTCTCTCAAAACTAAAGGCCCTTATATAAATTAAGACTGTCAATTCTTTACAATTCAGTAAATACTAATTTAGTTCTCGAGAGTGCTGTGAAGTGGATTACTGCTCTGTATCACAAATGAATTCCACTTGTCAAGGTGTGATGAATTCAATCGAACATTCGATAAATAATGTTGAACAGAGAACTTACATAATAATAAAATATACCCAAGAATTCTTTTTGAAGAATTGCCAAATCACGTTCCTACAACCAAGATAATATTTCATTGGAAAATTTTATGTATTCTTACACGAAGGTAAATAAGAGGACAACACCAGCTGTCACCAATATCATAATAACTGTATATATTGTGATCTAAGAATAAAATTACTCACTCATCAATCCATTTTCATCTTACCCAAATGTTGTCAGGGAAAGGGATTCGCTGTAAACTCTCGGTGGTATAATCAGAATTCCCATACGATGCATAAAACCGTGACATTTTCCAAT